TTACTTTATGAAACTCTTACAAAACCTTTTTTATTTAATATAACTTAACATATCTTCAATTTTAATTTAACTTAACGTATTTACTTCAACGAGGGACTCTTGCAAAAACCTTTCATTAAAATATACTAAATTAAAAAGAATTTTCAAGGGCCCCTCGTTAAATAAATAAGTATTTTATTTTTTTGTTTTTCATTGCAAGATATTAAAACAAATGTTGGTAACTTTACAGAGAGGATTAGACTTCTTAAATATGAAGGTGTCCCGCCAAACGTTGCCAACTCCAAAAAATCTCACATTTAATTGGAGGAAGTTACTGTGGAGAAATATTTCATGATGAAGTTTTTTTTTCTTATTTTAATGTACACATATTAAAGTAATACAGCAAAAGTATGTCTTTCTTCATTTTTTTTTAAACATTATACCTAATCATCACAAACAAAATTGTTTCCTTGTAAGAAATCGTTTTGAAAATCTGTTACTGAAATATAATATTTCACCCGGGAGATTGGCTATTCCTTAAATATATCAGTATATACGCCGCCGCAACGTCGAGTGTGGTTAGCACTTGAGTGGGTGACCGCCTGATTTGAACGACCGTCCACCAGGGAAAGCCACGCTGCCCAAAACTCCTCCTCCCCGGTTTGTGAGGCCGTCGGACTACTGGAGGCAACTCACACCGACCGGACCTAAGACTGATGACCATACCCCCGAGTACTTAAATCAGGAATCGGAATGTTCGCGTGACGGTGCCGAGGGGGGTCTTTCAACTCTGGCATTACTCCCCCGTCCACACCTCCTGGCCTGGGAAGACCCCAAAATCAAGCATAACTAGGAACTGTACCAACTCCAAAATAGGTAAAATGTATTAACTGGATTGCATCCTTTGTTGTTTCATTCCAATGATCCAAATATTTGACTCCCGAAAAATTCATTAGATATAGGTCAAAAGCTTTTCATCAGTATTTTTTTTTTTATATTTGGACGGAGATTTTAATGATAACTATTTATAAAAGTGAGCTTTTTAGTATCGATTTGCAGGAAATTAAATTTTGCAACTTTATTTTTTATTCGTGCTTCCATTATTAGAAGAAATCTAAATATATCTGGTGATTGTGGAATACGTATTGCTTGAAAGTGAGCTTAATATACATTTTTTTTGTGGTACAAATCAGTGATATAATCAGTCATTTGACTGTTATAACCTTCGATGAAAAGGATGACGGGCTTTGTGATATACTACTCAAAAATTAAAGAATGAATTTTTATTTTATTTTTATCATAAAATATATCAAAAATTAATCTAAATAAAATTGTATTAGGCCTCGGGAAATTTTATAAAAGGTGTCTTAAAAAAATTAAATGTTTGTGGGTACTTGTTTTTATGAATTCGAATTGTTTTAAAATGTATGACGCACTGTTGGAGGAGAATGTAAAGGGGTGTAAGATGTTAGACCAACTTCCAACAAACGATTACGAATGATTTTCGTTGGTATAGGCTTTAGTAAAACATTCAACACTTCATTTAGACTCTGTCGGACACTATGAAAAAGGTGACTTCTTGCAGTAATATCAATATTTCTGTTATCACAATCTTCTGAGCTTCACTAACCAGCCTCCTATTGGTACTTCCGGTTTTTCTAGTTAAAGCTCGGCAGACCACAATCTGGGAGATATCCACTTGCCAGTGACCCTGACCGCTTATTGCGAATTTCTTGTTCAATATGATGTTTTTCCTTCGTTAAAGAGAATATTAATATCAAAATTGAGAAAAGTCGAAAACAACTGTTGGTTTACAAAATGAGTATTTTTTATGTTACCTATATTTTAATTAATAATTTACTAAAAACAAAGAATACTTATTGCTAACTTTTTATGTTTAAAAACAAACAAGAGAAATATAATTTCCTAAGGAACAACATAAGGTAAGTATATATACATCGAAGCCTCTTAGCTGCTTCGTATACAATTTATGTATGCTTATAAGCAAAGAACTTCTCCGCTTTCACGAACTGTGAGAAATATGCTACATCTCCGTTGAAAACTATATATATATATATATATATATATATATATATATATATATATATATATATACATATAAATATATATATGTATATATATATATATGTAGACCTATATATATACATATATATATATTAATTTTTTTTTTAGTAGAGAAGTAGGCAGAATATGCATGAACTGATTAAAATCCTCAAGAAAAAAAAAATGGTCAAAATAAAGAAATAAAATGATAATAGATAAAAAATATAACTAAGTTTTTGCTAACTGAGATAAAGATACGCTGCCTGGGAACTAGGGCTAGAAGGGGTGTCGAAAATTATTGTGGTTATTGTATAAAGAGTTCAATCTTTTGGAACAGAATAATAGAGTGTAAAAAATAAAATATAAAAAAATCTGTTAAATAATTTTTTTTTAAATTATCGTAGCATAAGCACAGTCAAATGAAAAACAGTTTTTGGACTCAGTGAAATATTAACCGAAAAATTGATAATATTACAATACCCACCCTGTTTAGACGGTAAGGAAAGTAAAAATCACTGAAATCTTTGCTTGTTTTTTTCACTGCCTGTTCCTGGACAGCTTTACAGGCAACACACCAGGTATACATGTATTGCGGCTACAGTAGAATCCCAGCGCCGGCCATTGTAAGCTGCCTGTGGCTAATCTGAGTATTAATCTCACAGTACGTGTTTCACGAACCTTAAATGATGCGTATTGTCTCCAGTTGATTCCATAATTAATTATAAAATTATATATATATTATAATATACATAAGAAAGAAAAGCTCATCCATAGAATAGTAACAAATTTAAACACTGTGACGAAAAATGAAATACAAAAAAAAATTAGTTCCTAAAATAATTGTTAGTTTTACCTCGAAGAGGATAAATTAGTTTTAAGTATTAGTTGTAAATATTAATTTTAAGTTAGTATAACAGCCGACATATGAGAGAGAAAAACATATGACAGTTTAGAGAGAGATGGCGGAACCTCGCGAGTGTAGAGGCACGCTAAGGATTTGTGTGTGTGAAATACTTTAGTTTATCAAAATGGTGTACACCAGATTTTTCTTTTCCTCTCGAAGAACCTGTGATTATCAGCGACGAGTGCCGCTTGATATTACAAGTTGGTGAATGAACATTTTCACAGCTTGAGGAAGTGGACTGGGGAGACACTGATGACGCTAGCTGGAATAAGTTCCCGCTTCCTCAGATAACTCAATGTACCAATTGGCCAAGTTCGGCATTGAGATTTTGTAAATATGTATATATAAGTTTTTATTTCCTACCTATTTTTTTTTTCAAATAGTTGTAATTAGTTTATTGAATAGTCTAAGTTAATGCTTAGTTCTATAATAATTTTAAATTCTTTTCTTTGATATTTAAAGTTAATTGTATTTTCTTTGTTTTCTTATAAATCTAATTTCTTGTTCATAATTTTCATTTCCTTTAATAGTTATTTAAATCAATAGAAATAAGTAAATTCGTCATTAGTACTAATAATAGCCAGTTTAATTTTCTTCAGTTTGTTTTCATTTTTTATTTATATATTATATTGCTTTTTTTAGAGTTTAACAAGAAATTGTAAACCCCTATTCCAGGGATTAGGGAAAATGAATATTAACCGAGTAAGAAAGTTAATAGGTTTTTGAGATTAATTAACATATATTTTTAAACCCATAGGTTCCGAGTTCGTAGCTCACTCCGTGTCCAAATCTTTTATTTATTTTATTAAATTAATTTTATTTTTAAGGTTTTCGCTATTTTCCAAATTCAACCAATTAAATAGCGTGGCGCCTGTTAGATAATATTTAGTAGTAATAATTAGATATAATAGTAATATTTAATTGACTCTTCATTAATTTTCTTTTTTTTTTGCGAACCCTACCGTCTCCACTGAGCATCTGGCAAATTTATTCTTCTAATCAAATTCTTCTTCAAGTTTATTCTAGCGAAAACAATTCTTCTAAAATAAAGACCGTAACAACACGTTCACATATAAAGCAAGAAACAAGCACACTTAACATACAAGCCAAAGGTGGAGAACCGCACGCGGTCTCTATGGCGCAGTTGCAGCCTCCAAACGTGTTTGCGCTATATTTATTAAAATTGTGCTATAATTAATTAATATTTAATTATTTCAATTTGGAACTTAATCGAATTAACTTGAATATATGTATATATTTATTGATAAATAAAATTAGCAAGGGTAAAATATAAAGAATTATTACCAACTCCTTACCAATGCCCAACCTTACTGCGGCCTCTAATGATAAAAACCTATAGTATAGCTCGTTGCAGGTCTTCAGACTTAAACATAAAGGTCTACAACACCTTTTTTTTTATTGGATAACCCATTACCCACCACTTATGGTATACTGGGGGGGAGAGGAGAATCGAGTTTCATTCCGTGGGTCCGCCACAAAATAAAAAAAAAGTCTAAGGTCCACTGAACCCCCACTTTAGACAAATCTTTCATTATCGGATAAACATCTTTATGGAATTCCATCTCTTCATACATACGTCATTCCAATACCCTTCCCACCTTTTCAGTCACTTCCTATCCATTGAGTCCCCATAAAATTGTAAATAGGTGTTAACATACAAGCTGTAAAAACTATTAGTTCATTTTAATTATTTTTGTTTCATTCTTATTTTATTTAATTTATTTTTTTACTTGATTAAAGTTATAATGTAACCTATTATTTTATTTATTTATTATGTATATTTGCTTTTTAGTGATAATTATCTGAGGCTCCAGAGCCCACATTTCTTTCTATCTTTGTATATTATTCTAGATAAGATTACAGCTATTTTATTTGTGTAATTTCAGCAACATCCTGGTCAATTGGATGTGAGGTATAAATATATCTAACTGATCTCCCATCATTTCCAAAACATTGGCCACCTCTTTGGTCTGTATAAAAAATTTTGTTTTATATATATGTATATTGTAAGGTTACATTTATGTGAAAAGTAAAAAAACCGTTTCTTTAAAAACATATATTTATTTCACACAATTACATTTACTTTATTATAAAAACTCTAAAATATTAATCAGGTTGGACTGTGACAATTAAACACACATTACTTATTTACAAAGTGTATATATCATTAAACCATACATGTTATATAAAACAACTATGAATTTCCACAGAATTATTTGTTGGGGTCTATACTTGCCGCTTTTAACACTGTCACAATATATTTTGCACTCATGGCACATAATTTAGTCAATCTTCTACTGTAGTGTTTCTGCAGACATTACTGTATTAATCCAACTTGTTCCTTTCTCTAAACCAAACATCTACCAATGTCTTCTCTCAATCTTCCATTTTACTGTCCTGATATAGATACTCATTCCTTACTGGCCGGTTACTGTCTCCCTCAAGCATATGGCTCCTGCTCTCCCTTCCATCTGTATTCTTCCACCTCTTTGTCCATTATTTGAAAGTATTTCGTGACATCACAGTTTTCTGGCCATTATTTAAACTTCTATTGTTGAACTATTAATTTCAACATATAATATTTCCATTACAATATATATATATATATATATATATATATATATATAGGCCCGGTTCTGGATGGCCTAGGGTAACAGAACCACGGGATGACCGGTTTCAAGCGTCCTTACCACCTTACCGTTGTTCAAGCGATTCATCAGCTTGAAGAAGTTCGAGGTGTGCTAATTTCTGAACGTACCACTCGGAGAAGATTAAATGAGTATGGATTAATGGCTTTTCGTCCAGTAAGAGGACCAGAGTTGACCAGAACTCACAGAGTAACATGGCTGGCTTTTGCTCGAGAACACAGCCATTGGACTATGGATGAATGGAGTGCTGTACTTTTTACATATGAGTCAATATTCGCTCTTCGATCTCCAGACGGGCGTGAAAAGGTGTGGAGAAGAAGAAACGAAAGATATGCAGCCTGTAATTTTTCCCAGAGCCAACCTTTCCAACGTGGTTTCTTAATGGTGTGGGCTGGGATTTCAATGGAGCGCCGCACAGAATTGGTTGTTGTTCATGGAGGGTCTTTGACGGCCATTCGCTATGTAGATGAGATTTCGGAATCTCATGTGTTGCCTGTCCTCAACGAAATCGGCGATCGTTCTATTCTAATGCACGATAATGCATGCCCACATGTCGCCCGCATAGTGCAGACATTCCTTCAACAGAACAATATTAAGGTTTTAGCCTGGCCAGCACGTTCTCCAGATTTGAACCCCATTGAGCATTTATGGGATAACCTCGGTATACGAATAAGAGCGCATGCAACACTTCCTAATACACTGTAGGACCTTGAAAGGGCTCTTCGGGAGGAATGGGCTATCCTCCAGCAAAGGGACATTTCCCGACTGGTGGAAAGTATGCCGAGGCGTCTTCAAGAAGTAGTGAAGGCAAGAGGAGGAAACACGTGCTACTAAACGATGATGTAATTAATTTCTTTTAGAATAATAATGGTTCGTTTTTCAATTTTTTTTTCTCTAATCTTTCTTACCCAATCACATTTTGATTATTAAAGGTAAAAAAGATTATAAAATTCCATAAATACTAAGTATTATCTACAAATACCATGTATTATATACAAATACAACTTTGCAGAAATATTTTTAGATGAAAACATTGAAAAATCAAGTGGGTGGAATTTTTTGTCCGTCACTGTATATATATATAAAATGAAATAAAGTAATCGTTAAATAAATAAAGTGATATATTACTTACGTATAACAGTTTATATTTTATACTAACACAAACTACATGCAATTCACCTTGATCAATAAATACATATATGTCATATGGCTCTAGTTTTGAGGTGATACATACTCCTCAAACATGTATGGGAATTGGCAATGTGCACAGTTCTATAAAACACTTATATAAGGCCATTTTACACTTAACTGTGCAATCCTAGCAAACAATACTATGTATCTTCAGCTAATATCCATATACCTGGATTTGACTATAGAAAATAAGTAATAAAATAAAAACTCTGAGGGTATATTTATTATTAAAAACATAATTAACAAAATAACATGTAACCTAATTATATTCCTCATGGTGTTAAAAATGAATGTTACCATGCGCATTATTAGTCAGATAGCATCAATTATATTTTTATGATTTAGAAACAATAATTTGATTTGATATAATGAATAAAATAATAAACAATTTACAAGAATACATTATAAAATAAATAAAAAAATATGGTTAAATTATAGGAATACAATAATATAAAAGAGGAAACAGCAAAATAAAATAAAACTATAACAGTTATAAAAGAACATTAAAACTAAATTAAATCAATACATAGTCAATTAGAAGTAAATTTACACACTAACATGAAACTGAAATAATAAAAAAAATATAACACCATAGTAACATTGATTACATTTAATAAGGGTGATAAAATAAAGGTAAACAATAAAAATTGATATATTTTAGATTAAAGTTTTTTTACAGATCCTTGAAAATGGCCCAAGAAGCCAAAACGTTGGGAAATAAAAAATACAATAAAACGGTTTTTTTATAGGCAACCTGTGGCCTAAAATCTAATAAATAAAAACATAATAAAATGGCACTGAATGTTATAAATATGACAAAAAATAACTTTCATTGTAAATATTTAAATTTGTTTATCACTTGTAGATAAAAATAACATTTATTTAATTTAATTATTATTTACATATATAACATTATTGTGTTTTTAGCATAAATGTAAATCAGTTTCAAACATTGAAATGTGAAATTCAAACATAACTTAGTCCAAATAGTCTGAACGAATGAATATGTTAATTTGTCAAAGAGCAATGCTCTAAACAAAAGAGTATTACATTTCTTATTTACAAATGTACATGATAAGATAAGAAAAATTTAATCATTAAATAATCAAGATTTGTAGTTGATTACTAGTAAAAGTAACAACTGTAGGTGACAAGAATAATGATAACAAATGATGTTAAGTACTCTTCAAATAATAATTATAACTTGGTACATAATAACAATAGTGATATTTTTTTCCTGTTGTGAAATTATTGAACAATGTTAAGAATAAGTAATGTCCTCACTTAAATGTTTAGTTGTGCTCATATAAAGACTTCATTTTCATTATTATGGAGTTCTAATACTTGATGTGTTGGCCATCATAACCTATTTTCTCTGTCTCATCATAAGGCACAAATATTATTTGGAAGTGTTACATTAGCAAGAAATAAGTGATAAATATATTTAAAACACACTGCAACTGCAAATTGAAGGCTACGACCAAAATTCACAAATTATAACATAAATGTATAAATTGGTTGTTTCCATAAGTAACTCTGTCATTAAACCTCCACCTTCTCCTCCGGCCTGGGAAAAATTTCCATACATCCTGGTAGACGAGGAAGGGATGGATAAAAAGGGTGAAGCAAATGAACCAAAGATACAAGTAACCTAAATTTTTATCATATAGAACGTTTCATTTCTTCAATAATAAAGTGGAATACTTTGAACTTAAGATTTCAAGCTTTTTTACAAAGCTCTAACATTAAAGAGGAAAACTTAAAAGTTGCATTGTTGATTAATGACCTCAATGGACAGGCATTAGAAATTCTAATTAATATTTGTAAACCTTAATTTCTGAAGCTACTTCTGATTTTACTGTTAATAAATCACTCAACAAATTATATGCAAATATTTCAAAACGACACAAGATTCAATAAAATTAAAACTTTTCCACTTAACCTAAAACACCAGACCTACAAGTTACCAATTTCCTACAGGATTTAATAAAACAAAATGCCTGTACTCTTCTGAAACAATAGAAATTTTTAAAACCAAATCTACAGAGAGTGATATAATGTGATAAATTTTGTGTAGAAAAAAAAAAAAAAATTATACAGCTATTCCGAGCATGAAATAAAAGTCGTAGAAGCTTTTTGGAGGAGGGTTACAAAGAAATTGCCAATTTATGTAGCCAAAGTGGAGGGTGACCGCCAGAACCTGAAGAATCAGACACTCACTTTTATTGAAGGCGGAGGTCGCTGAAATATATGTCAGCGTATTACACTAGTGGTGACATATGGAAGTGAGACATGGGTCCTCACCAGAAAGTCAGAGCAAGTACTGAACATGTACATAGTTAATTTATTATCTTTTTAATTACATAGTGGGCGGGGTGGCCGAATAGGCTAAAGCGTGTGCACTGCACCGCTGTTGCCCGGCAACCTGACATATGAATCAAAGATATAAAAATAGTCACGAGTTCACGTCCCGGCGCCGGGGGAGTCTTTCAAATCCCCGCCCACACTCCCTGGCCCGGGAAAATCCCGTATAGCCTTAACGGCGAGGAAAGTTTTGACAAGGAATTTTGGCCCCTTGTGGGAGGGAGATTGGTGGAGGCAGAGGAACAATCAGGAGCTCCGTGATCTATACAAGGCCCCGGATATTGTCACCTGCATCAAGACGAGTAGAATCAGGCAGTTGGGACATTTGCAGAGGATGGAGGAGCGGCGTACCCCGAAGAAGCTTCTGGACCGACACCCTGGTGGAAGATGAAGAAGAGGGCGTCCCAGATTGCGTTTGCTGGAAGACGTAGAGGAGGACCTGAGGACATTTGGAGTGCAAAGGTGGAGAAGAGCAGCTTTGGACAGGGATGAATGGCAGAAAATTGTGGAGGATGTCAGGGTTCTGCAAGGACATTGTGCCATCGAAAGAAGAAGAAGAAGGAGATCGCTGTAGCGAGCCCTAGTCCAAATGGCAAGACAACACGATGGTATTTACTAATAAGAGGGAATATTCCTTGCAATATAAAAATGAAAATGTTAGAAACATTAAGAAGAACTAAAAGGACCAGATCAGATTTCTCAAACATATAAGGTGCCCTACCAATTATCAACTTGAGATTGACTCCCTAGACGAATTTGAAGAATAAATAAAAGAATATCCATTGGAGGTGGAGATTGCTGCAGAGGCCCCAGGGCCAAAGAGAAGGCTGCTTCCACAGCTTGTATACGGATGCTTTTGTAAATATATAATGTGTTTATTTATGTAAATATTGATTTATAAGTTTTCTATTTTTCTATTAATGTATAAATGTATCAAAAAATTGCAGGACAACACCATAGTTTTTACTAATGAGTTCCTTGCAAGATAGAAATAAAAATGTTGGTAACTTTACAGAGACCTTAAGGCAAAAAAAGAGGAATCGGTCGGATTCCTCCGACGAGGAGGGGCGCCAGATCCTGAAGGTCCGGAGCATCACATCCATTGGAGGCGACGGTTACTGCGGAGGTCCCAAGGCGAACTGGGGGGAGGGGGCGCGTCATTAGGTGGCCTATGCTTTTTTGCGCAAATATATAATGTAATAAGAATATGTTTATTCATGTAAATTATCAACTTGACAATTGACTCCCTCGACGCATGTGAAGAATAAATAAAATAACGTCACATTCACAGGAAGTTGCTGCAGCAACTAAGGAAATTAGAAAAACCAACTATCTATGCTTTTCTTTTTTTTTTCATCGCAAGATATTAATACAAATGTTAGTAAGGCAGAGATTGATGTGGTGTTCCCGAGGCTAAATGGTAGGGCAATCACCGTAGCTTGAGTACGGCTGCTTTTGTAAATAAACAATGTAATGAGAAAGTGTTTATTTATATAAATAGCTTGCCTTATGCTTGCTTGTATAAATATAGAAAGTGTTTATGTAAATATTTGTTGTAATGAAGCAGATCCGATTTCACAATCATAAAAAAAAATTTTTAATGGCCCATCGTTAAATAAATAAGTATTTTATTTTTTTGTTTTTCATTGCAAGATATTAATAGAAATGTTGGTAACTTTACAGAGAGGATTAGACTTCTTAAACATGAAGGTGTCCCGCCAGACGTTGCCAACTCCAAAAAACCTCACGTTTAATTGGAGGAAGTTTACAATGGAGAAATATTTCATGATGAAGTTTTTTTTTCTTATTTTAATATACACATATTAAAGTAATATAGCAAAAGTATGGGATAGGGTAACAGGAAGGCTGGAGAGGGAGATGGGTGCGGGAATCTTCCCCACTCAGTCAGTCATCAGTCAGATTCCTCCGACGAGGAGGATGAGGCATAAGATCCCAGAGGTCTGGAGCCTCACATCCATTGGAGGAGAGGGTTACTGCGGAGGTCACAAGGCGAACTGGGGGGGGGGGGCGCATCATTAGGTGGCCTATGCTTTTTTGCGCAAATATATAATGTAATAAGAATGTGTTTATTCATGTAAATTATCAACTTGACAATTGACTCCCTCGACGCATGTGAAGAATAAATAAAATAACGTCACATTCACTGGAAGTTGCTGCAGCTACTAAGAAAATTATTTGTCAGGCCCATCGTTAAATAAATAAGTATTTTATTTTTTTGTTTTTCATTGCAAGATATTAATACAAATGTTGGTAACTTTACAGAGAGGATCAGACTTTTTAAGCATGAAGGGACACATTCAAGGTAACTTTACAGAGACCTTAAGGCAGAAAAAGAGGAATCGGTCTGATTCCTCTGACGAGGAGGATGAGGCGCAAGATCCCGGAGGTCTGGAGCCTCACATCCATTGGAGGAGAGGGTTACTGCGGAGGTCACAAGGCGAACTGGGGGGGGGGGAGGGGCCGCATCATTAGGTGGCCTATGCTTTTTTGCGCAAATATATAATGTAATAAGAATGTGTTTATTCATGTAAATTATCAACTTGACAATTGACTTCCTCGACGCATGTGAAGAATAAATAAAATAACGTCACATTCACTGTTACGTAGGCCTGAAATTATTTGTCAGGCCCATCGGTAAATAAATAAGTATTTTATTTTTTTGTTTTTCATTGCAAGATATTAATACAAATGTTGGTAACTTTACAGAGAGGATCAGACTTCTTAAACATGAAGGGACACATTCAAGGTAACTTTACAGAGGCCCATCGTTAAATAAATAAGTATTTTATTTTTCATTGCAAGATATTAATACAAATGTTGGTAACTTTACAGAGAGGATTAGACTTTTTAAACAAGAAGGTGTCCCACCAGACATTGTCAACTCCAAAAAACCTCGCGTTCAATCTGAGGAAGTTGCTCGAGAAAGACTTCATGTTGAAGCTTTTTTTTCTTATGTTAATGTACATGTATGCAAGTAATACAGCAAAAATATGGGGTAGGGTAACAGAAGGGCTGGAGAGGGAGATGGGTGCGGGAATCTTCTTCCCCACTCCTTGCAGAATGATCAAGCAATAGTGCCCTACTACCCACTGCTTGTGACTTCCCAGTCCTCCCTATCCCTATCAACGCCTACTGTCAACTTCTCGTGGTTCCTCCCGGGGAGTCCGATGGGACTCGCTAGTGACAGAAGCGGGGATCCACACTTCTCCCTTCTTCCTTAGAGGAAAGTTGTGTGGATCCGACTACGGCACCCAAGCTAGGTGGAGGGCGCTCGAGCCATGGCTGAGTGACGAGGGGTGCTTATAAAAATACACTGTCAATTCGACCCAATTGGGGCAACTGGCGCACCCCATTGTATTTAGCCTTCTGCAGGGAGAGAGAGTAGAACCTGTAGCGAACCTTAAGTCACTCCATACTCGTGAGAACCAAAATGTGCAAACCACTGAACTTAACAAAACGGACTGATACTGGTAAAGACGCGGCTTTGGACTGTTAGAGAAGGAAGTGGCTGGGAAATACTCCGAGAGGCCATCGATGACCCACGTGAGAAAAATTCAAGAAGCTCCACTGAGACTATCTCAGCTGAGGTTTCTAAGCTCTCTGTGTTAACAGAGGATGTTAAGGGTACGGCTGGTGGAACTGGAGTCCCACCAAAACCCAAGTTCTCTGGTGTGCAGCGAAGGAAGTATAAAAGGATGAAGAGGCTCGAGGCTATGTCTGGGACTGAGCTACCGGTGGCAGCAGCTCTGACTGTACTGGCACCGATTAGTGAGGAGCCTGGGCTGGTCAGGAAGCGTACCAGATCCTCGCCGGGGAACGCGACGTCTGTGGCGAAGATGGCCAGAAGTGGGGAAGCTGGTGCAATTTCTCATGCTCTGGCGACTGGGGGCAGTAGGATGGTTATCATCCCTTGTGGTTATCCATCGGTTCAGCTTTCCAGGGAACAGGGCGAGGAGGTTAAAGCACAGGTGATCAAATTTGTTGATCGTCTGGAGTTCGGTGGTGTTATCCCTCAGTTTAGTGGCTTAAGCCACCATCAGGGAGGATGTTAATAGTCTGCGATGACCAAGCCACCAAAGATTGGATCTACAGTGTAGTGGAGGGCTTCACTATCAGTGGGGGGTTAAACTCTGTGCTGGTAATGTTGAGGAACTTAAGAAAGCGGTCAGTGTGGGTGCATACTTCCATGGGGAGAAAATCGCGGATAAACTATTAATTAGGAGACTCAGCATTCAAAACGGTAGGATCCCAGATATTGATAGTTGGCAGATATTGTGTACAAAGGAGGAGACTAACGGAGTCTATGGAATCTTTAGGATCCCTGAAACTAGTATCAAGCACCTTGAGGGCAAAAATGTAATGGTGACGTACGGCATTGCTAAAGTTGCACTGAAGGTGTTTGAGAAAAGGAAGCCGCCCAAACCTAGTGTGCGGACCACAAATGTGGGCACTGCTTCTTCAAAAGTTTCCCAGGTAGAGGAGTTAGGGGGAACTTTTGCTTCCACTAGGAATGGTAGTAGAGTCTGAGCCAGCTCGGGAGGGCTTATCTCCGGTGGATGTGGGGTGGGGGGAGGGTCTCTGGACCTGAGAAACATGATATCAGAATGGATGTACTCCCTCGGACCCAGGCGGATGGTGGTCCTCCAGCAAATGGCTCCCTCTTATAATGATGGTTAAGCTGTTGCAGGTGAATCTCCATCACTGTGTGGCAGCCTGTGGAGTGCTGCAGCAGTACATTAGAGGTAAGGATATTGATATTGTATTAATTCAAGAATTCGAGAACAGGATTAGGAGGCTGGACATGACTGGGTATAGCATTATTGCAGTGCCTGAATGTCCAAGAACCTGTATCCTGTTCAGGAATAGTATTAAGCTGATGCCTCTGTGGCATCATTGTTTCAGGGACCTGGCAAGGATGAGGAGAGGATTTTAGTGGCAGCAGGGTATCTCTCCTACGGAGAAGACATCCCCAAAGCGGCTCTAAGAATCTTAGAAGAGAGAATGGGAAAGGAAAAGGTGATTGCGGGACTGGATGCCAACGCTCACCACAGGATTCCCCGGTTTGTGAGGCCGTCGGACTACTGGAGGCAACTCACACCGACCGGACCTAAGACTGATGACCCTAGTACTTAAATCAGGAATCGGAATGTTAGCGTGACGGTGGCGAGGGATGTCTTTCAACTCTGGCATTAATCCCCCGTCCACACCTCCAGGCCTGGGAAGATCCCAAAAGCAAGCATAACTAGGAACTGTACCAACTCCAAAATAGGTAAAATGTATTAACTGGATTGCATCCTTTGTTGTTTCATTCCAATGATCCAAATCTTTTCTAAAATATTTCACTCCCGAAAAATTCAATAGATATAGGTCAAAGGCTTTTCATCAATATTTTTTTTTTAATATTCGGACGGAGTTGTTAATGATAACTATTTATAAAAGTGAGCTTTTTAGTATCGATTTGCAGGAATTTAAATTTTACAACCTTATTTTTTATTATTGCTTCAATGATTAGAAGAAATGTAGATACATCTGGTGATTGTGGAATACATATTGCTTGAAAGTGAGCTTAATATATATTTTCTTTGTGGTACAAATTAATGATATAATCAGTCATTTGACTGTTATAACCTTCGATGAAAAGGATGACGGGCTTTGTGATATACTACTCAAAAATTAATGAATGAATTTGTATTTTATTTTTATCATAAAATATATCAAAAATTAATATAAACAAGAATGTATTAGGCCTCGGGAAATTTTAAGACGTACTCCGCTTTAAGCACTGTAAGAAATATGCTCCATCTCCATTGAAAACCTATTCCCAGTGGAGAAGAATATCAAAATTGCCATTTTCCTTTAAATATTCTTTGGTAGTGAAGATGTGTAGAACTTATATTAAGTACCTTGGCGCTGACTGCTTGAGGGTGGGGACAGCAGTGGAGGGTGGTCCTCCTGCAACTGGATCCCTTTTATAATGTTGGTTAAGCTGTTGCAGATGAATCTCCATCACTATGTGGCAGCCTGTGGAGTGCTGCAGCAGTACGTTAGAGGTAAGGATATTGATATTGTACTAATTCAAGAACCTTACCTGTTCGAGAAAAGGATTAGAGCACTGGATATGACTGGGTATAGCATGAGTGTCCAAGAACCCGCTCGGAAGTAATAGACATAACATTAGGCACGCGTTGCTCGAGTTCTAGAATAGAGAGATGGCATGTTTCTAATGAAGAATCATGCTCTGATCACCGTTATATCAGATTTGATTTGTCTGGGTATAATGTGAATGAATCTGTATACTGAAATCCAAAACGCACAAATTGGGAGAAATACTGTTTCCAATTAGAAGAAGAAGTCCAATGCTATCCTAAGACTATTAGGAACACTTGGCATTTGGAATGCCTCAACTCCTCATTACATGAGGGAATTATGAGGTCTTACATTGAAAATAATAGTGTCAGTTGCATCAGATCCAACAGGTCCATCTCCTGGTGCAACTATGAACTTGGCAAGCTAAGAGCCATAACTAGAAAACTCTTTAATGCCGCCAAGAGTACGGGCAGATGGGATACTTATAAGCATGCCCTAACTGAATATAATAAGGCTGTACGTAAGGCAAAAAGGGAGGCGTTGAGAAACTTTTGAAGTGATATTAATAATACGTTATCCAGAGTCCATTAAATTCAGTCAAAACAGACAGCTCAGTCATTAGCACAGTCAGGGTTGAAGGAGGTAACACCTATTCTGGAGAGGATACTCTGGAGGCTCTGGCGAGTGCTCATTTTCCTGGCTGTCAAATGTTTATTTATAATAATGCTCAAGCAGGAACATTATTTTAAATAAATTTGATCTTTATGGGAAAAAATATTATACATGTATTGCATGCTGCATCCGGAGTTATTTTATATTAAGAATATTTATTTATTTATTTTCTTTTGAATCTATTCTGCACCAGTATTTGGAAGGCGGATTGGAATGAGAAGGGCCCTCAAGACGTTATAAGGAATACTAGAGAGAAAAAAATTTATGAAGGGAACAGAAGAGAGAAAGAGAAAAGATAGCCATGGCGCAGGAAAGATTTGAAAAAGTATTCAAAACAGCAAAAATTAAAAAAAAAAAATTCAAACGCCATGAATACTGAACCCTTCTCAGGGCTAGATTAGGGATATATTTAATATTGCACATTACATTAGTAAAACTTTATGATGGGACATTATTTTCTAACAGCTTCAATTAAGATATTGTAATGTCAATATTACATAATGTTTTTGAATATTGGCGTGAAGGTGGGGACATCACGAACTACTGACAGGAAGTACAGATGGCAGCCGGCTAGGAACCAGGACCGGTGAGAAGATGTTGGTTCCCAAATGGTAAGTGTCAACAGCAGAAGGTTGTGGAAGTGAATGCACCAGTACAGAGGAGAAGTAGATGCATCATAGGGTGAGTGAAGAATATATAAATGGACAGATCGAACGCGCACCAAGAATAGACCCTGACAAATAGAATGGAAATTTATAAATAAGTGTTATAATAATTAATGTATGCTTTTATATAGTTTAAATGAGGATGTACGTTAGTTGGGATAAACCCAACCTGGGAACATATTCACTTTATGTATAAATTAAAATTCAAAATATTTTGAGTATGAGATAGAAAGAAACGGAACTGCCTTGGCAATGAAAATCCTAAATCAATATTCATATCATGCTAAAGCAAATATTGTTAAAAAAAAAATTTCTGAGCGATAAAAATTCAAATGAGAATACTTGCAACTCAAATTTACTTACTGATCCAAAACTACAACCCAAATATAAAAATTTCTAGGCAATTTACATTAATCATTTGAAAAGTAAGATTTTAATTGATAAAAAAATCATCTAACTTTATTGCAGACAAAGAAGAGGACAAGGTTATAACAATGACAACTGCTCACAAATTATAGTCTGGACCACTCACCCTCTTACATGAAATAATGAATAGAATATTAGTCGTCTAAGACTATCAAATAAGTAAAACATAAAAATAAATAAAAAATGATAAGAAAAAGTCAAACAAAGGTATTTGGAAGGAGAATACAGTAAACAACTTGCATCCCAAAGTTATGAAACAATTTTTATAATTTCTGATATAAGTTTCTAATCTACAACAACAATTTGAAAGCTTAACCCTTGATTTAATTCAAACTAAATTTATGACATTTGTTGGAATATAGCTAATATATATATAGCTAATAACTTAAGAGATTTTTCGGTTTAAAACCTAATACACAATTGTTATACTCTTAATGAATAATATCATTCAGTAAAGATGATATTTACAGCAAGAACTTAAATGTCATATTATTTTAGATAGTACAATGTGAAATGTTTGTTTTAAAAGTTTAACTTTTAGAACTTGATAGCGGGGGCCTGTTGGTTGTTTTGAGCTAATTATTTTTCTGATTTGTAGAATTAATTTAAGGTGTAACCGATCATGAGTCAAAACATCAACTCTTCTTTACTCATTGACTCTATCTGGCCCAAATGCATGATTTGGCAACAAAGATGCGCTTCACTATATGACAATGCTATATTACTTTAAACTACAAAACCAGACCAGCTGATCAAGTAGTAAAACTTAAGACAAAAGCAATAAGTCATATGTTGCTACAGTAGTTACAATATAATTATTGTTTTAAAGAACGTATTTAAAATCCCTTTATTATTACTTTTAAAAGTATTATACTACAAAATTTATAAAGTTAAATAATTTTAAGCAATTGATGCTACAAATGGATAAATATATTTAAAGTTAAGATAACCCAACATGATGAACCATTGCCCTGCGAAAAACTTAGTTGATATCTTTACCATCACCCTAAATTTCATTTCAATTTTTGTTGGTTTACAATTATTGTTTTAATTAAATTTGAGTAGTATTCCTTATAATTTTAAAAAACTATACCTTGAAAACAGTTAAAATGGTATTTTGTTGTTATTATATAATACATAAAAACTATAAGTCAACTAAAGTAACTAAAAATGAATTAAATTAACTCATACTAAACATAACCATAAAGAAAGCCTTCAGCATAAGCTCGTTTGGCATCAGCACCACCACCTTTTATTCTCCGTCCAATAGGTTCTAAATCATTGTAACATTTTGGAAAAACTCGTTCAACTGCTGCTATGGCCTCATCGACGCTAACATTTCTAACTGCAATTATTGAAGTGATAGCTTTTCTTTTAACACAGATCTATAGAAAAAATAAACAGAAAGAAAATAATGATACCAAAAAATTCTTGAAACTTTTATTGTTCTGCTTAGTCTAATTATCTGATTTTAATTAAATTAGATGAAAAAATTTCTAGAAAAATAAATAAGTCATAATCCATGTACAGAAAAACTTTGTTATAACACTTTTAGAGAAAGAAGAAAGACTAAAAGACAAAGAAAATGTGCGCTATATCTGGGAAATCATAAAAAAAAAACTACCATTATTTTAAAACTACAAATTAAAGAAAAACACACTTAAATCTAGAATGATGATATTTCTGATTTAAAATAATCAGTAATAAGTAATCGGATCTACTCTGTATCTAAAAACTTGAGAATCTTTCAAATAACAGTAAATGTAAAACTTCAAGTTCTTCAACCACTACCATGTCATTAAGTTGCTTAAAGAGACTTAAATATAAAATCTAAATTCCTCAAGTAGCAGAAAAACAAAGTGATCGTGAAAGAAAAAATAAAATGGCAGCCAAAAACACCCAGTTTCTTAAACATCAGTAAATGTAAAGCATTAAATTGCAGAAATATGATTAAAAAAAGTTACATAGAGCATTATATTTTTGTCTTAGGATTGCAAAAAAAAAATTGAACTGAAAATAAATTGCTCATAGAACAAAAATTACAGTTTTTTTCCTCTACTGAAAATTTTTGGTTTTTGTTCTTACAGGCTTTAGCAGTGTGGCTGTTGATATTAAATACTCAATTTGAAACTGGTTGAGTAATATAACATTGTGTCATCATAAAGAACAATAGTTAAAATTAGTTAATTACTGCAAACTCTGATGTACTCAAGCCATTTCTAAGGGCATAGAATTTTTAAATGTTCAAATAAAATTATTTATTATATTATAAACTTATATTAAGTGTAAGTATGGAAGGATAAGAAAATAAAATGCAAAAATGATTTTTGTAACCGATATATTTTTTCATTCCCTCAAAGAATAAGAAACAATTGGAAAAGTAATAACAAAAACATTTAATTAATATTATAGAAATCTTTCATGAGGCAATTAAGATTGAAAACAAAACTGAATACAGTAAGTCTAATGCTCTATTTAATTTTGAAACAGAATTTTTTATAGCTCTAAGACATCTGAATTTTGCAATGGTTTTTATTTAAAAAAGAGGTATAAGACAGATAAAGGATAAAATGTAAAATATATCCTCAAGAAAAAATCAAATTAAGACAGATAAAGGATAAAATGTAAAATATATCCTCAAGAAAAAATCAAATATTTCAAATTAATTTTAAATTGTAATATCAACGGCAACATTCTGTTCATTAGAATTAATAGATGAGATTTCTCTGACAATGGCAAATGTTAGTTATTTGTAGTTTAATACTAAAAAAAAAGTTAGGAATAAACAAATGAGCTTACTTTATGGTTTGCTTTGATGTCAAAAGGTGATACATCTCCCTGAAGAATAGATGAAGTCAAGCTACAGTGAGTAAGGTTTGCTGCTCTGATTTCAGTACAGGCTAAATGGTCAATATTCTTGAAATCTACTTTATTATTGCAGTAATCAAACATGTGGATCATTTCATGGGTCATGATACCTTGAACGACTCCTTCACTTCTTGAATTGTTTTGACAAATGACAATCTACAGACAAATAGAGAGATTTTTCAAAATATGCACATACATTAAGTAGTATTTTATACAGTAAAAATTGATAAGCTATGAGATTGATTTGCGAGAAACTTTACTTGTCAGTAATGCTTTAATTGTTTAAAACGAGGCAAAGCGGGTAGGTTTTAATTAAAAAGAATATGAGGATTACCAAGAATCGATTGACGAGTAAGGTTTTATTTCTTCATATAGATTCCAACACTGCCTAACTCAAATTTTTTACTACTAAGATTTTGATAGTTAACTTGATAACTTTCTTCATGCTTGATTAATAGGTAACAATGTAAATGTCAAGATTATGTTTTCAAGAGTTTATGAGTTTCAAATATGCTATAACTTATAAAAAAGAGGTATGACAAGTATTTTTGTAAGAAATGAGTTAAATGGTTTCAAAATTTATAATATGATATGTAGTAATAATATCTATTACACACTAAGTAGGTGATATAATCAGGAATGTTCAGATTGACGGAATGGAAAGAATTTGATATGGTTTTTATAAAACCACTTAAGACAGGATGTCGACCTTTTTTTAACAAATTCCCTGACTTCTTCAGGCTATTCAATTGGTTTCAGTGAAAAACTGTTGAGTTACAAAAAAAATAAATAAATAAAAATCTAACCTGATTTGTTTCAGGGTCATAGCCACCACTAACTCTTGAATTACATACTTCACATACAACGTGTCTTCTCAAATCTATATCACTAAAACAAATCAAATTAAATAGAAATATAACTAACTAGTAAAAACAGAATAATAAAAATCTGACAAAACTTTCAATTGAAGGAATAAAATTATCAAAACTACATACAATAATTCAATGAAACTACAATCCTTATATTTCATTAGCAAAATTATACACTTTATAATTTTATGCGGCAGAATGGCTAAAACTAGCAGCCCAGCCACCTGATGGAAGATAATGCCTTAAAAAAATATATAAAATGAAATGTAAAAAAGAGAATCCAGTAGAATTGAAACAGCAGAGATATAGCGAAAAATGTTAACTATAACCAAGTTTATTAGGCATTTCAAATAGCATCCATTTTTTTTCTCGTACACTTATTAATTATAATTCCTAGCTGACGTTTCTGGGTAACATTTCTTATGTTCAGAACACTCCCTTATAAAAATCATGAACAATAAAACATTTTAACATAATTTGCATTATTCTGTATTTTAATATAACAATAATTTAAGTAAGTACCTTGCCATTATAAATTATTAGAGATGGGTCATCTTTAAAGTTAATCGAATAAAATGTATGCCATAACATGTACATTAAAAGGCCTAACAGTCTATACCTAGCACACGTTGTAAGTAGCAGACCTGCCAGAAAAATGAACTTTAGCCACTTGATCCTAGCTATAACTATCCTTATATTATTATTGGTTATCTAAATCCTTTCTCTTAATTTATTGTTTATAAGAAGTTGGTAGGGATTAAAACAGTTGACTGTAAAACTCAACCAATTTCTCTTCAATATCTTCTAACAGACAACAATTAACCACTATAATATCACTTAATTTATAAAATTTTAAAAATAAATATTTTAAAATCAAATATTGTTTATCTATCATTATTTAATTTTTATTCTATTTAATATATCTGCATGTATGTTTAAATTTTTTGAATAATTTTTATAATTATTAGTTTTATCAATATTTTTTTTGTTATATGGATTGCTTCTAATATTTCTCTATTTTTTGTATCTATTTTGCTGTTTAAAATTTTTGGTATGTCAAAATTGATGATAGAATTTTGGGTGATGTACTATTTGTATTTTTATTCACATATTTCAAAATTTAAACAATATTTTTGTTAGAAAAGATTTCAAGGTTTCCTTAAAAGTAGGGTTAGTAAGATACATGATATCTTATACAGAGAATGAAACTTCATCATAGGCTCGAGGAAAATAGCAAACAAATTTATTTATTTATGACCAGAGAAAATCTATATCAGCACATGAAATATAAATGAATTGCAGATTTTTAAAAATGTTCAACTCCATTAGAATAGTAATCAAGTTGATTCCTTCTGATTATTACTACCAGAATGTGACACAAAAGCATTGTATGGGCCAGGTTTGCAGCCTGGTATCACCATAATTTTGGGATCTGCCTCTTCACAGCTTAGTTCTTATATCTTTTTGAAAGTGCCAAATAACACAAAATACATCTTTGGTAAGAGATAAACAATGACCGGAGAAAATGAGGAAATTCCAAGCTGGAAAAGTTGGTCGGTTCTCAATACGCATCCTTGGAGCAATATAATCAAGCCGTGTTCTTAGATCTAAATACATCTCAAAATTAACTATAAAGAAGCATCCTGAAAGATTAAATGTCATTTGAAGTAAAAGAAATAGTTTTTACTTAAGGATAAATGAATAGGCAGTGTGATATACTGATGTCGATTTCCAAATCTCCTGTTCTTTAACTCGTAATCAATAACATTGATTAAGTAGTAAAAGAACTGATAAACATAAAAAGACGTGAAAAGTTTATCACTCAATAACCTATCTGTGAATAAAAAAACTGGTGTCTTCGCCTTGGCGTAAAACATAATATTTTAAAAAAATGGCAATTACAGTACAATAGAGCCCATTTAACCAGCATTAAAAAAGAAAATCTGGTGCGCTCAACACACAACTTTCACTTACTGCTCTTCTTTGAATAGAAATTATTTTCTGGCAATGATGGGCTATTATAAAATTACAAATAGTCTATTTATTATATCGACAGTAGGCAATAAAAATCTAGTAACTACATCTTCTTTTATAAACCACATAACCTGAGTCTCTAAGCCTTTCAGTTGATAGAATAACTAATTCCAGTTTCAAAATTTTTGAGTAATATTACTTTAGTGATATTTCTAGTTGAAAAAGTTATATATACAGACAGTGAGTAAGTTGATTCAAGAGTAGCTGATTGCAGTGTTGAAATATAGAACTGTGAAGAAAGGTATAAATTTTTTCAATAGAAATATCACAGAAATTAATAATAAAGAATGTTGAAATTGGGGTTAGTCATTCTGTCAACCTAAAGACTCATATATGCCTAGAGAGGTTTGAAAGAATATCTGAATATTTAATCTATAAATTGTAGGACAATTATGGATATTATGGATTGTAGGACTATTAGTTATTAAACTGTAATTTTCCATTGTAAAGTTTACTAAAACGAAATTACGAGATTTTTGTTGCCTGCCATGGATAGGTCAAAAGTTTTCACACTGATTGCAGTGGATAATGTTGGGATTTCACAAAATAAAAAATTCATGAAATTATTCACTAACTTAATTTTCTAAAAGGTTACTTGAGGATTTCTTGGAATGAACAGCCGATAGATACCTAATTATTTAAATATAATATCTTATCAACAGATTATACTCTATAGTAAATATATTTGAAGTTATAAACATATCCATGAAATATTTTTATATTTCACTTCTTCTTTCACACAAGTATAATCAAATAGTACTTTAAACAATGGCATTGGCTTGATTCAGTGGATTTTAAATACTTTTTTTTAAACTTAAAAAAACATTAAAAAGTTTACATATAGTAAGAAAATTTCCTTGAAAACATGTGATTTACGTTAAATAATGTTAGTTTTAGAAATTATTATTTATATTTTTGTCGCCACCTTCCGTTATCTTCTACAACTTTCTATATAATATATTATATTTCTAGTAGGAAAAGTTATATCTAAACAGCCGGTGAGTAAATAGATTCCAGAGTAGGTAATAGCAGTGTTGAAACAAAAACTGTGAATAAAGGTATAAATTTTGCCATTAGAAATATCACTAAAATTAATAATAAAGAATGTTGAAATTGGAGTTAGTCATTCTATCAATCGAAGGCTCGCATATGGCAAGAGACATTTGAAATTACATCTGAATACTTAACCTATAAATGATTATGGATTGTAGAACTATTATATTTCACAAAATTTTTATATTTCATTTCTTCTTTCACACCAATACAATGAAATAGTATTTTAAACAATGGCATTAGCTTGATTCGGTAGATTTTAAATACTTTTTTTTAATCTTGGAAAAAAATTGAAAAGTTTACATTTAGTAAGAAAATTTCATTTAGTTTACTAGGAAACATGTGATTAACGTTATTATAACGTTACGCAAAATAGATAATGTTTTATTTTATTTTTTTGTTTTTTTTTCTCTTATGCCAGTCGTTGGTCATTTGGCCATCTGACATCTTGCTGCCCAGTATAATTTAGACTTTCTGATATATATATATATTTGAAAATATTTTTTCTCTTATGTCCCTCAAGGCAGGACATGCGTCCAGATGGTCTGCATCCATTGTTCCTTGATGACACAATTTACAGCTAGGATCCTCAGCCACGCCTATCTTGTAGAGATGACTGCAGATAGTCGTGACCAGTGGCCAGGCGGAAGCAGACAACTACATCTCTTCTCAGCAGTTCAGCTGGAATGGGATTATCCTTCAAACACTCATAACGTTTTCCTTCCACTTTGCCCAAATGTGCTTTTCTTATTTCTTCCTTCACTACTATCTTTAACATTCGCTGTATTGAGTCATAAGGTTTTGGATGTATCGGCTGAGACAAATCTGTTCCTCGCTTGGCAAGAATATCAGCCTCAACGTTTCTCAGAATTCCACAATGGCTGGGGATCCACTGTAGGACCACATTGGTGCCTCGGTGTGGCAGGTTAGAGAGGAAGGATTTACGTTCCAATATAGCACTCGATAAACATTCAAAACATTCATTCGTGTTTGTAACAGCGAGGATGGCTGCTTGGGAGGCGATGAAGAGAACAGTGCTCTGACCCCGCCTACTAGACAATGTTCTTAAGGCTATGAGGATCGCCGCTATCTCACCGTTGAAATTTGTTCCATCTTTACCCACCCCAGCGCTGATTTGAAATTCCTTTAAGTAAACCTCTGCTCCAGCATTTTTAACGGCTGATTCAGCTGATCCGTCGGTATAGATATGGAGCCATTCTTGAGGAGGGTACTTTTGAACTATAGTTTCTAATGCTAATGCTTTTAGCTCATATTCAGGTGTTTCTTTCTTATCCACCTTATGCAGTTCTGCATTGCATGCGTGATTGTGAATTGGTAACTGTGGATGTATAGATGGTTCCCTTTCTTCGCAGTAGTTCAAGCCCTCTTTCTGCAAGTAGTGTCATCGCCTTCAGCATGAAGGATTTTTGTGTCTTGAGCCGTTGAGAGGGGATTTTGTAATTTTTCCAAAACTCTTGGTCCATTCTTTTCATTCGCTTGTGAAAGCACATTGCAGCTCGCTCATGCCATTTTAATAGAGGTTCTGCTGTGGTCTGCAGTTCCGTAGCTACAACAGGGGTTGAGCACGGTGCACCCAAAATCAAACGTTAAATTATGTTAGTTTTCTGAAATTATTATTTATATTTTTTTCGTCACTACTCTCAACTTTATTTATTTGATATTTTCTTTCTCTAAAATTCTCCCCTTTTAAAAAATGTATTATATGTATACCTTCTGACTATTATTCCCGGAGATTCATTTTTGATCTGGATAACCATTTTTCTTTTTTTCTCCAGTTTCCAATTATCATATTCTTTCAAACTCCATATTTAGCCATTTTTTATAGTTACTGTCAATAAAAGAGAGTTAATTTTTTTAAATAAACCACATTAAAGGTACTTCAGAGGAAGATCTAAATAAACATTAGGGATT